GGGGGCGGGGCGGGGGCGGAGCCCGCCCCACGCCGCGGACTCTCCTACCACGTGTCTGCTTGTGTTTTGGAGGTCGTCTCCCCGTTTGAATGTTAAGAGCTTTGCCTTACGCCTAGCTTTCCGGAAATTTATGAGCCTTCCTGGTTTTAAGACTAAATCCTTGATAGAGCATTAAATAAACATGCATTGTACAGTCTTAAGGTTGGCCTGTTTGGGACAAAGAGTTCAGTCAAACTTAGGCAAAATTTTGCATAACGTGCGTTCTTGTATTTGCGTTTTTAAACAGAAACCAAGGTGTATGTTGGTAATCTGGGAACCGGTGCCGGCAAAGGAGAGTTAGAAAGGGCTTTCAGTTATTATGGTCCCTTAAGAACTGTGTGGATTGCAAGAAATCCTCCGGGATTTGCCTTTGTGGAATTTGAAGATCCCAGAGATGCAGAAGATGCAGTGCGAGGCTTGGATGGGAAGTAAGTAAGATGTTGGTCATGAAACTCAGCCTTTATTAGAATATTCCTGTGGGCTGGGTAGCGAGCTAGCTAAATAGTTAATCCTAATTCTACATACTTGAGAAGGGGGAGCAAAGTTGGAGTCGGAAGGGTTTATAAAGAGAACTGAAGCTTCTGAGGTTAGAGTGGAAATTTCTAAATCTAGAAGTCATTTGTATTTTCTTTAGCATTAGAAATTTGTTGCCTTTCTTTTATAGGGTGATTTGTGGTTCCCGAGTGAGAGTTGAATTATCAACAGGCATGCCTCGGAGGTCTCGTTTTGATAGACCACCAGCCCGCCGTCCCTTTGATCCCAATGATAGATGCTATGAATGTGGCGAAAAGGGACATTATGCTTATGATTGTCATCGTTATAGCCGGCGGAGGAGAAGCAGGTATTTATTTTAATAAAGGAATGGTTGGTATACTAGTTAATCAGTAATTTTTTTATTAGCAAGGCAGAAACTAGTATTTTTCTATAAACTTGAATGTTAATTGTACAGGTGTATTTTACAGTTTTTGTTTAATTAAACAAATGCTAATATATTAATAATCAACCTGGTCAAAACCTTTCAGGTTTCTTCGTTTGAGTCAGTCGCCTTGATTCAGAATGTCACGAGCCTTATGATATCATGCTGAGGCGCCTTGCAAATCCGACAATTAAGATCCTCCTAGACCTTGAGGTGATCAGCATAAGAGGCCAGATCCCCTCGAGTCATCTACACCTAGCTTCACCTTATTCTTTAAAGGGCAGAAAATTTGAGACGGTGATCGCCGTAACAGTAAATTTGGCTTACAATTGGGGCCCCCTCCGGTTTAGAAAGAGGAACACCAGATTGACCACATTCCCAACTAGAAAAATCTTCTTGCGTCAATCAAGCCTCACCTGGCTCATTTGGCTGTCAGTTTGATCGTCGTTAGATTGAAGAAAACATCTAGATGCAGCGATCGGCTATAGATACTTCTAGATCGTCTAGATCTACTAGACCATGGGCCAAAGAGGGTCGACCTGCAAACTTGCAAGGTTTATTTTAAATACACATTACGGTGTTTTATATTATGTAATTCTAAAATGTAATTCAGCTTTTAACAAATCTTTTTTTAGGTAGTTTAAAAAAAAAAAAAAAACTAATAGGCCCAGAGTTTATTTCCAAATGAGACACTAAATTTAAATAGTTTGAGATTTGGTTTCAGCAGAGGCACACAAACTCTCAAAACGAGTTATCATCTGACATTCTTTTTTTTCCTAACTTAATAAAATAGGTCACGGTCTAGATCACATTCGAGATCCAGAGGTAGGCGATACTCTCGCTCACGCAGCAGGAGCAGGGGAAGGAGGTGAGAAATATTATCTAACTCAAGTTTTAACAACTGATAAACTTTAATTGGACATAAGACTTAAGCTTTGATTTATTTCTCAGGTCAAGATCAGCATCTCCACGAAGATCAAGGTCTGTGTCTCTTCGGAGATCAAGATCAGCTTCACTCAGACGATCTAGGTCTGGTTCTATAAAAGGATCGAGGTATTTCCAGTATGTAACACTTTCTTTCCCTTATTTGTATTTGGTTTGTCACGTCTTAATGACTGCACTTTAAGACTATCTTAAAGACATAAATGAAGTGGTTTGCATCAGAAAATATTTTGATTTCTAAAAGTTGAATTTGTACATGACTTGCATCTAATCTAAATGGATATTATCCTAATTGTACAGATGAAGAAAAGACCAATCAAAGATTTTTAGAGGCTTGTTTGAGAGGCCATGGTAGAGGAGGGTCCAAAGCACAAATTCTCAAGTCATTCCAGTGCTTCTTAAAGGTGATAGTTGCTTGATTTCTGCTGGAGGCCCATTAGAACCAGGGGTAGGCTTAGAAGCAAGTTGAGACCTAAATTTCTCCTATTTGGAATGAGAGGGTGAATTTGAGACTGGGAAGTTGTTTAGGGTAGTAGTTGTGTACACGTGGGTGGATATGGCTTATTTAACCACATACACGCTAAAATGTAAGAAATTAAAAATCAAATTAGAAACCTTAGGGGTTTTTTGACTCCTTTTGTAGAAGGCCTTTAAATTAGGTGCAGAAATGGGTAAGATTCAGGTGCCTGGGTGGCTCAGTCGGTTAAGCATCTGACTTCAGACTCAGGTTGTGGTCTCAAGGTTCATGGGTTTGAGCTCCATGTGGGACTCCGCTGACAGCTCAGAGCCTGGAGCCTGCTTCAGATTCTCTGCCTCTCTGCCCCATCCCTGCTTGCGCTGTCTCTCTGTTTCACAAATAAGCATTAAAAAAAATTAAACGGGGAAAAAAATACATAAGTCAAAAAAATTAAATGGGTAAGATTTTATAGAATATAAGGAGTTGACAAATACTACGGTCAAGTCACTAGCAGTGTATGCCATTGTGAGTTAGTGCTGTTCGATAATAGCACAAGATCTGTAAAATGCAGGGATTCTGAAACTTGTGGTCCACTCCAGAAAGCTCTGGACTCTAGATGAATGAATGCATTAATTTGATTGCAGGACTCTAATGTGTGTATGTCAGAGGCTGTGGTTTAGTTTGTGTGACAAGTGGTCCTGAACCACGAAAGCTTGTTGATGATCTAAGAATAAAGTCTTAACCCATTTGTGACTTTTCATTGAGGTTATTACCTGAAGAATTGAAATCTCAGTTTAGGGGTCTGTGTAATGTTGAATTTGGTTTTGAGATCTACAACTAAACCAAATGATACCAGTCTTAAAACCTTTTCTTTCTCTTGGATACTATATACTGTTTAAGAATGTTGTATGGGAACTGTGACAACCTAACCTAGCTCACGGAGTATGGTAGAAACAAATAATTGAAGTGCTGGTGCTTCTTTATTTTGATATTGTGAGCTTGTTGAAAGTGTAATCATTTGTTCAGTCTTAGGCCGATGTAAGTTAAGAGTTGTGTCTTGCTTAGTCTTTTGGTTTTTTTTTTTAAGTACTAAATTAAACATTTTTTAGGTAATCTCTTCACCCAGCGTGGGGCTCGAACTCCCAACCTTGAGATCAAGAGTTGCATGCTCTCCTGATTCAGCCAGCCAGGCGCCCTGTGTCTTGCCTAATTTTAGCTTCTCTGTTCTTAGTTTACCTAATGTAGTGCTCAGTAGTAGGTGTTGAAGGACGTTACTCCTCTGAACTAACAATGCCGTTTTTCTTTCTATTAAGATCCCGGTCGAGGTCAAGATCAAGATCTAGGTCTCTTTCACGACCAAGAAGCAGGTAGGGTAAAAATCTGATTAATACTCTTCTAGTTATATGGCACCAATATCCAAAGAGTTCAAAGTGTTTTGAATTGTTGAAATCTCAAGTGTAAACTCAGAACCTAGGTGTTCGTGGAAACACAGAATCTTACTAGTAAACCAAACATTAGAACTTGGTTTGTACATGGCCTATTCTGACTGACTTCCTGGACAAGAAAATGTCAAGCTATAGAGAGAAGTTTGTGACTTTGGGGTTATATTAAGAGGCCTTGTTAGAACTGATAGGTGCATGGAAAAAAGCATTCTGAGGTCATTGTGCTTGAAGTATAGTGTAAAAATTAATCATACAATAAAGTAGTTCACTCATTTTATGAAGAACAGTTGTTGGAAGATTGGCTTTTGTTAGCAAAAACTGGTAGGCTCTCTTTCAGTTGAACTGCAGCCTGACCTTTTAATATTAAGCTCAGCGCAACCTGGGGGTTCATTTCATGATACTGTGATTATAAGAAAGGTATTTGGTAGTACTTTTCTTAATAGAATTTCTCATGTTTTGACAGCCGATCAAAGTCCAGATCTCCATCTCCAAAAAGAAGGTAAGCTAAATAATTTGTTGCCAAATCTTAACTGTCAAGTATGGCCTCTGCAGAGTTTGTTTGCTTACTGCTTGCTTTGCAGGCTTTGAGCTCTTTGGAGAATTGGTGCTATATATATATATATATATATATATATATATATATATATATATATATATGTTTGTTT